GAAATTTGGGGGCTGGATTTGCTCATCTCATTCTATTTTTATGTGGTCATTTTTCTTTTGTTTTTCTTTTGTGCTGGATGCAGACTAATTAGATTAAGAGACAGATTGATTTATAACAGGCAAGAGAGGTTTACACAACAATTTTAGTATTGCATTCCCACTAGGATAGGATGTTAAATGATCATACCTTGCTTCTTAGCAATTTTTTAGTGTACTGAAAGTTTGCTGTTGCCTTCCTATACTTCTTTGGTTAGAGATCCACAAGATCATTTAAATGTTTTTCTGCCAAAAGAACAAAGAAACCCAGACTCTGCTCTAAAAAGGACCTCCCAATGAAACCATCACTCTCATGACCTCATCTCCCTTGTGGATGCTAAAAAGGGTGAAATGGCAGTGATATCATTGCTGTCCAACTTTTCTCTACAGGCTTGAAACCAGAAAAGGTTAGGCTTGTTGCTGCTGGAAGGAATCACACAATTGTATCAACTGGTCAGGAGAGACATTTGTTCATACTATTTTGAAATTTCATGACTGTCTTGTGAATTTTTCTTGGTTGTACTCCTTTTCAATAGAGTCGGGTTGTTCATATCCAGGTGCAGCTAATCTAGACTTAGGGTGAAATCTTATCTCAGATTTGAAAGTTTTAAGATAAAATTCAGTATATTTCTTTTTGTCTAGCATGTGATCATTAGTTGCTCTAAAAATTAGAGAAAATTATGCGAAAAAAGCCTTTAAACAAAGGATTAATAATTAAAGAAACCTAGATTAAAATTTAACCTTGGAGTTAATCGTCCTTCAAACAGCTGGGTCCAGGACTGTTACTCTTCGTACTGCTCTGTAAGTGCACAGTGCACAGTTTACAGCACATTTACACATAAAATGTTAATGAAACTTGAATGCACAAATTTTGTCTTACTAATAGTAGCAAAACTAGAATATCACATTCACTACTTAGCCCTTCAACTCTCATGATGTGACATTAATTCTCTTCTTTAGCTAGAACATATTGCCTCATACAAAGTAATTACTACTCATTTAACCCTAAAGTAATGATTTTTTTCATTCAGAATCTGGAAAACTTTACAGTTTTGGTTGTGGCGTTGATGGACAACTAGGTCATGGGAACTGTGAGGTAAAGGCCCTAGAACTTGCTTCTTACTTGTGACCTCTTAACCATTTACACCCAAAAATCAGGATCTATATTCTCCGTAATGTCTACTGTACATTTCTTAATGGTATTGATGAGGAGAAACAGGAGCTTCTTTATTCAGCAATGATTTCTATTATACTCATGACCTTAATGTTTAAATCAGTGGTGGTACTGTAGGAATGAAAAAGTTAAAAAATTAAAATATCATTTCAACAGAATAGAGCTGACATAGGATTGAAAAAAAAGCCAAAACTGGCTTAAAAAAAAAGGATGTCATTGTTAGATTCTTAAAAGATTTTCACTCAAGGGAAGCAGTAAACCAAGATGGCAGTTGTGGCCTAGAAGTGTAACAACAACTCCACTAATTAAGCACAATATGGAGGGAAATATTGGGCTAATATCAGTGACATTGATTTCTTGAAAATTCTTGATTTAGCAATGTCAGCCTTGAATAAACTATACTTGAGAAAATTTTCATAGAATTATTAGTAAGAGTAGTTCTCTTTCAAACCAAGTGACCATTCTATGCAAGTTAAGGCAAGAGAAACAAGCTGTTGTAATGGGCTTAATAGATACCATTGTTGCTTTATAAGAGGGGCAGTTACAGTTATTAATATAACTGAAAACTTTGGCAGATTTTCTGTTTGTGCCTTTTGGTTGGTCCCAAAATATTTAATCAGTTTGTCTTTTAGTCTGAAACAACAAAACAAATAACTGCTTTGATTCAAAGCTATAATCAAAGATAAAAACGCACCATTAAGCACACTTGTGGAATTCAGGTACATCATATTATTTTGAGAGTTAGGTATTATCAGGAAATGCAAGAAATAGTTTGTGGTTTGTTTTGTTTTGTAGAGTTCTCCAGTTCCTAAAGCTATTGAGTCTTTACCTGACCAGCAGTATACATTGCTTTCCTGTGGGTCAGACTTTACTGCTGCTGTTACTGGTAAGACTTTTAAATTCTTCTCTACACTTCCATTAAGGGGGTGTAAGAGTCTTTTTGTAATTCTGTCATAAGGAAAGAATTCATTTGTCACATGATTATTTCAAATTATCTCAAACAAAGATTAAAATTTTTGACTGCTATATAAATTATACAAAATTATTGCATAAAATTATTAATTACCGTGTACTTATTGACTGAATGGGAGGGGCAGACAGAGATATTTGGCTGGCAAGGTCTGCATGCCATGAATGAGAGCCAAATATTTTCCCATCCAGCCCAACCAAACTTAGTCAATTAGCATTTTACCATGTGACCAATAAGTGTTGAACATTTGGAAAAGTTTGTTTCAACCTAAATTGGACTTGATAGGTGAGCATATGGGGAACAAACACAAAAAGGATTCTGTAATAAAAATTTATCCCTCATTTCTCCAATTCAGAACACAGTTCATAAAAAAAACAGGACTCTTTCCTCTTTTTCTCTAAGCTTTTGCAACAAAGCTGTGTGAGTGAAGCAGGGCCAGACAGCTTTTTCTGGACAGGCTCACATTGACTCATCTGGCCTGAGACACATCAGCTGTAACTACTCTAATGTTTTTCTATTGGATTGCTTGTGCAGGACCAGATGGGTTATGATATGGGACTTGATTTTTTAATTGCTGGCATGTGTTTTCAAACACATATAGTCTTTTAACTTGTGATGCAATCTGCCAGATATGACTAAGTAATAGAGGAAACACCTTGTACTTTGTAAAGACAAATTTAATTGTTTTCCTCTCTACAGAAGAAGGGCAACTGTACTCTTGGGGGTCAAACAGTGAAGGACAAATAGGTCACGGTGATGAGATTGATGATGACAGTTGTGCAATACCCACAAAAGTGAAGATAAGAGGAAAAGTGGTGTCAGTGGCTTGTGGCTATTATCACATGGCTGTTGTGACAGGTTAGTTATTTCCAAACAGTTGTAAAAAGTTGATCTACATGTAACTAAGGATCAACCTATCTCATACATAACAGCAACATTTAATTTACTTCAACTGCAGATGATGGTTCTTTGCTCACTTGTGGGGAAAATGAAAGTGGCAAGCTAGGATTAGATGAGTCACAAACTAACAATACATCAAAACTACAAAAACTTTTTAGTATAAATGAAGAGGTTGTCTCTGTTGCATGTGGTGGAAATCACACTGTAGCAGTCACAAAAAATGGAAAATTATATTCCTTTGGACAAGGAGACCATGGTCAACTTGGTCATGGATCTTCACTGTTAGAGTGCAGTTCTCCTAAACAAGTGACTTCTCTTAGAAATATATGTGTACGATATGTTTCCTGTGGTGAATCGCATACTGCAATTGTCACAAAACACGGAAACCTTTACACCTGTGGAGACGGACGACACGGAAAACTTGGCATGGGGGAGGAATCATTCTCCAATCTATTCAAACTTGAAAAAGTGACTAGATTTGATCAATTTACGGTTAAAACTGTGGCCTGTGGAGGGTGTCATACACTTGTTGCGGCAGTTAAAACAACTGAAAACGGTGAT